ATTAATGTATCTTCAAGCTCACTGATTCTTTCCTCATCTGTGTCCAGTCTACAGATAATCCCATCAGAGGGGTTCTTTATCTCTGTTACAGTGTTTTTTATTTCTAGTATCTCCTTTAATTTTTTTTTTTTTTTGCAGCTGCTCAGTACAAGGATTGAACCCTGGGCCTTGGTGTTATCAGCACCATGCTCTATATACCTGAGCCAACCCTCCTTTGTTTTAGAGTTTCCATCACTCTGTTTACATTACCCACCTGCTTTTTTGTTTGTTTTTAAAAGATGACTGGTAAGGGGATCTTAACCCTTGACTTGGTGTTGTCAGCACCACACTCTCCCAAGTGAGTGAACTGGCCATCCCTATATAGGGATCTGAACCCATGGCCTTAGTGTTATCAGCACCGCACTCTCCCAAGTGAGCCACAGGCTGGCCCTTACCCACCTGTTTTTGAATGCTACTTTTTCCATTAGAGCTCTTATCATATTAGTCAGTTATTTAAAATTTTCTGTCTGATAATCCAAAATGTGTATCATACCTAAGCTTGAATCTGATGCTTGCTTTGTCTCTTCAGTCTGTGTTTTTTCTTGCTTTTTAGCATGCCTTGTAATACATGATTTATTGGGTAAAGAAACTAATGTAAATAGACCATTTGTATATTTGATATTAATCTGATTAGGAGTTGGACTTAGTTTAATGTTTACTGTAACTTTACATGCCAGATGCTTTAAATTCCTCTAGTGTCCTTGGTTTAGTCTCCTCTGTTGTCTTTTTTTTTTTTTAATTGAATCATAATTGATTATACATATTTTGGGGATTCAATGTTGACATATGTTGATCAAATCAATATTACTAGTATGTATATTGTTACAAATTGTACTTAATTCTTTATGCCCCTTGTCCAATCTCTCCCTATCCCCTTCTCCCTCTCCCTCCCACCACTGATTAACCTAGTCTTCTCTCCCTCTGAAAGAGTAATGGTTAATCTGTTGATTTGTTGCCTAGATAATCTGTCCAATGCTGAAAAGTGTGTTGTTTCCCCAATATTATCATAGAGTAGATGCTTCTTGTGTCACTCTGGAATGGGCTTTCTGGAGACAGACATCTATTCTTTCCTTTGGTCTCTGCTGGTGACACTCTCCTTGTGTCAACGATCTCCAGTGGCTGGAGGACCATCTGCACGGTGGTTGTGATGTCTAGCCACTTTCATGGCAGCCATGGTTACTGTGGTGGCTGTGGTGGGCCACCCACATGGAGGTGATGTTTTTGGCATGCTCCTTGGCCTTGGTGGTGTTCCTGGTTGTGGGGGGGGGTCTGGGGCCCTGGCTCGATGCCCCGGGCCCCCAGGCAAGGCCCTGAGGCACTGGCAGTGTGCCTGGTTGTGGGGGGAGGTCCAGTCCCCAGCTCCATTCCTCTGTTGTCTTTGAGTTTCCCCAAGAACTTCTTAAATACAGTCTGTACCTTGAAGCTCTTTCAGCTATAATCCACTACTGTGATACTGGAGCCCTGTTGATGTGGTGGTAAGGTTTAGGAAAGGAGCAGCATTTTATAACGTTATAAGTAAATCTCAGTCTTTTAGTGGGTCTGTGTCCTGGGGCTGTGACCCTCACAGGTGTCTCTTAGCTTTGTTTCTCCCCTCCTTTGGAAGGATAGATGTGGCTGAGTTGGGTAATCATCCTAACCTCTAGGTGAGATAGGCTCTGATAGTCTTGCTTCCTGGAGAGCAGGCTTTTGTTATGGTGATTGACATATTTAAAAATGGTCACTTTCCCCTCCCCTGCCAAAGACAGAAGGGGACTTTTCTCAGCTCTTCCTCGGGAGTCTGCACTCAGCCTCCATCAATTTGTCAAAATTACTATTTAAATATTCCTACCAGCTTGTGGCTCCAGTAGCACTGCTCTAGCTAAACTTATCTCAGCTGTGACTGAATTTGCCTGTCTCTCCAGATTTTGAGGTGGCAGTTTTCCCTGCAACCTCATTTCTCTGATGGGTCCAAGATAAGCAGTTGCTTTTCAGTCTGTTGAGATTTTTTTTTTTTTACAAATGGGAAAATGACTTCCAAGCTCTTTACATATTGATGCTGAAACCGGGAGTTGCTTTTCATTTTGATTTTGGTTTTTAAAAAAATGCTCTCAAGGTACAAGGGCTGAGATGGCAAAAAGGCCTTGTACAACCATTTGGCCTTCTGGGAAACAGTCTGAGGTGGACAGGCCCTCTGTGAAGGGAAAGCCTAATGGTGTACTATTGATCTAGCCAGAGAGGACCAGGGAGCTGATGGCTCCTGCAAACTTGGACTCAACAGACCTCCATCCCACCTCCCCCTGCCCCATCCTTCACTGCCTTATTCCAGCTTCCTCATTTCTCATTTGGAATGGGCTCTCTCCTTCCTCCAGACTCCATCCTACAGTCCACCCTGGATCCTGCCCCCAAAGGATCTTTCTGTAACACAGACCTAACCCTGGTCAAAAACTCTCCCCTGCTTGAAAACCCTGCATCCCTATAATAAAGAACAGGTGGCTTAGTGTGGCATTCACAGATCCTCATGATTCACCCTACTCTGCTGCCCCCCCCCTGCTCCTACACAGTATCAGGGTGCCAGAACACCCCAAACTACTCTCAGGTCCCTGAACATAACATGCTCCTTCTGGTCTCTGCCTTTGCACATGCTGATCCCTCTGGACCTTCCCTATCCCAATTTACTCCACCAGCAAGACCTCACCTCCTTGGGAAGCCTTCCCCAAGCACTCTGTACATTCCTCAGTCAGAGCACCAGGCTCCAGGTCCCTCTGATGCCCTGTGTTCCTCAGCCCCAAGGGACTGTTCCAGCAGGCAAATCTCCATCTTACTCAAGGCAGAGGAGTCAGTGGGCAAATATTTGCATCTCCCTTGTGGCCCTGCTTTCTTCCCAGAGAGGTGACACTGAACCCCCTTGGTCAGCCCTCCCCATTGGCCATCTCTGTCTGGGGAGAAAATGGAGGTCTGGAGGGGAAGGAACACGTGTACATGGGCACCTGCTGTACATGACAGGAGATGAAAGAATCTGATTCTGAAGGCAGATTCAAGGGTTCAAATCTCAAGTTCCACCACTTGCCAGCTCTGTGAGCTTGGGTAAGCTACTTTCCTCTTTGGGCTTCACCCTCCTTATCTATGAAACAGGTTAATAAACAGAACCTAGCTCTTAGGTAGGGAGGCTTAAGTGGAATAGGGCAGTGTAAAGAATTTTGTTTGGTGAGTGCTCAACAAGTGATGCTGCTACACACCTGTGCTGGCCAAGCACCAAGCCAGGTGCTCCTACTTCCTGGGTGCATTTCATCCACGCCCTGGCCAGCGAGGCAGGGATGTCAGTTCCACTCCACGAGGGAGGCAACCAAGGTACCAAGGAAGCCTGAAGCCATCTGCTTCTTCCCCTTGTCAACTCATGGCTCAGCCCTGTCCCACCCTCCTGGAGAGTGGTAGAGGCCCAGGATGGGGAGTGAAGGGACTGCAGATTTGGGCTGCATCAGGCCCAGCCTGGGGAGCCCATCAGCACCTCCGATGGAGGTGGTGGCAGTGGCTGGGGGGGATGTGGTTAGAGATGCACCCCCAGCCCAGGCTGAGCTGGCTGATCCCACAAGGTGAAGGGATCTTCTCCATTTTCCTTCTGCTCATTCCACTCCCCCATTGCAGACGGAAAGGAAGGAACCCCCATTTCTTGAGGTCTTCCTACATACCAGGTGAGTACAGAGCTGGGGACTTTGATATCACATCCACTCCCCACCCCAAAGGCTGGTGTTACTGCCCCATGTTACATACAAGTCCAAGATGAAGCAGCTAGGGTTGCCCAGGAGACTGGCACACAGAAAGTGTCATTCCCATCTCTGTCGCCCTTGCACTGTAGTTGAGGGCCTGTCTGCCCCTCATTATAGCGGTTGAGGCTGAATCGCTCGGTGAGGTCAATGGAGGATCTCAAGGACCCTGGGTTAAACGTCTGAACCTGAAGCTTTACCCCAGAAAGTGTCATTCCCATCTCTGTCGCCCTTGCACTGTAGTTGAGGGCCTGTCTGCCCCTCACTATAGCGGTTGAGGCTGAATCGCTGGGTGAGGTCAATGGAGGATCTCAAGGACCCTGGGTTAAACGTCTGAACCTGAAGCTTTACCCCAGCCATACCTGCTTAAATCTCTGAGTTTACAGACACATTGTACAGTACACAACCCACACGGCTGCACATAGCAACCCTGAGATCATCCTCAGAGGAAGAGTCTTTTTGGACCAGCACTGCTGATTCCAACCTCCTAAACTCTGGGACTTCAATCCCTTCCTTCTCCAGAACTTCAGGTGTCCCAGTGTTAAACCAACCAACCTTAACTGGCCTGACAGTCCCTGGCTTCTGCCCCAAATCGTTGGTAGTCGAATACCTTGAAGTGATCTATCTTGCCAGACCCTCGCCTCCCACTCTCCCACTGGCTCCAGGCTTCCTCCAAGACCACTCTCCAATTCCATGGCCTCCCTCAGCTCCTCCTCCTCCACCTCTCCTTGGCATTTGATGATCCCTGATAATCTCCCCTCAGGCTTTGGGAACACTCCAGCAATTCTCCTATTTCTCCTATCTTCTTCCTCCCACTTCCGAAACATGGTCCTCCCTCCCTCAAGCCAAGACCTGAGGCGTCCCCTCCATGTCCTGTCTACCCTAAGTCAAGTCCTGTGGATCTCTGTCTTCACTTGCTCTCCTTCCTCTGTCTTTACCTCCATGAGGCAGGATGAAGCACCACTCCCAGAGTCAGAGCCCAATCAGACAGCCTGACAGCAGTCAGACTGCCCAGCTGGGCACCGAGGGAGCTGACCGGAATCCTAGAGGGTTGGCGGGAGGTGGTACAGGAACTTTGTGTCTTTGGCGTCTCCTTCCACCTGAACTTGTCATCCCCAGCCCTACCCCAATTCCTAGCTGACTTACAACTAAGAGAGTTGTCATATTTTGTCCCTTCCCCTTTTCCCCAGCTAAAGGTAACAAACTGCTGGTCCACATAGATTTTGTTTGCCCTGCCATACTTTTTTAAAGTTTCGATTAGTTGCTATCATTTAAAAATCAGAAGATTTCACTTAAGAGTCCAGCATCCTAGTTTCTTTTGAAAAATCAGAAGATCTGGCCATACTAGGCCCACATTCCTGTGTGGTGACAAACAGCTAGAGCTGGTATCAAGTGCTTCCTTCTGCGGGCTTGTGCTCTGGTTTCTGAAGTTTTAGCCCTCCCAATCACATCTGCCACCTACATCAGCTGCATGGCTTCTAAACTGTACCTCTGCACAAGGCAGTCCAGTGGGAAGGAAAAGCGAGCTTGATTAGACGTTGTCCTGTTCAACCCTACTCATTGCCCACAGGTCTCAGCACGCAAAGGAGGGTAGAGTGGGCCGAGCAGGAAGACAGGGTGGAGAGTCCCAGCCTGGAGCCACAGCCCAGCCTCTCTCCGATCACTGTCTATTGCTAGCAGCATCCCATGCACCCCATGCGTCCTGTTCCGGCTCAAGCCTGCCTTTGGGGGACAGGCTGCTGCAAACACATAGTTTGCTATCTGTTGCCTCAGGCCACCCCACATCTTACAGGAGCTGGGCCCGGGGCCTGAGGCTTTGTCCTGAGCCTGAGTAGCAGTGTGGCGTGTCTAGCCAACTCAGCCAAATGTACACCAGGGGGTGGCAGCCTTGTCACAGTCCAACACGATGTTGAGAACAGTGCAGGGGGCCCCGCCCACAGACAGGGCTGTGCGGGAATCCACGCGGTACTTCACAGTGCTCAGGCCTCCCTCCAGGTCTACCTTGAATTGCTCCTGGGGAGGAAAAGAGGAAAGAGAAGGTACTCAGGGCTTCTTGGCTGCCAGCTGTCCACTGATCCCACACAACTTCATCATCAGAGGTCCCGTGATCCCCACTGAAGAGAGGAGGAACCCACAGCATCACAAAGAAGTGAAGACCCTTGTACAAGGCTGCACCCCTCTAGGAAGCAGCAGAGGAGGGATTTTCTGTTGGGAAAATATGCTGCCTAGAAAAGATGTTTGAGCAACAGGGATATCTGCATCATAGGTCTGACTGGGATTCTGGTACCTTCAGCTGGCTGCCCCCTGCTCCCTGCAAAGCTTGCATGGAACCTGGGGTCTGGGCCAACCATAGTGACAAGGGTGCCCATGGTAGCTAATAGAGCAGGGCATGGTGTCCATGAGGAATGCCCATTGACTGACCTGGGCCAAGCAGGGAAGGACAGGGCCACTTGGGCCCAAGGACAATTTGGTGAAATGCTTGGGCCTGTTGGTTCCCCACATCACCACCTAGCCATCCCCGATGAAGAGACTAGCCAGCACCTGTTTTTGAGCCGCAATGCGCTTCTGGTCCCTCTTCCGCCAGGCTGGATCATGCAGGTGGCGAAATGTCTTGTACCCAGTTGTGATTCCCGAAGGGCGGAAAAGCTAAGGAGGCCAAAGGAAGTTGAGGTGAGGCCGCCCCTTCTGGAGCTCTGGCCCTCACCACTAGCTCCTCGGGGTCCCGCTGCCTGCCAGGAGGCCACAGGTAGGGGTCTACATTCACATCCTGCAGAAGAGCAGGCTGAGTCCTGAGAGCAACAGTGTGGCTAGATGACCACTGCAAGTTGGGGCAGAAGAGGGAACCAAGGGTGTAATCTCCTAACCCCAGGAACTTCATCTGAGGAAAGAGAAGAACCTATGGGCCGCTGTGATGGTTAAGGAGGTGGCAGGGCCCTGGGGGAGCCTTACCTGGAGCCCAGCTCCTTTAATGCGCCGGTAGAACTCGTCATCCTCACGGCCCCAGCCCCAGAAGCGGTTGGACATCCCATTGCACTGACAGAGACAGGCAGTGTCATTCACCCAACCTCCCAGGGGTGCTCTCTGGTCTCCTGCTATGCGGGAGTACCCAGCCTGAGCCCCACAAGGCCAGGCTCCCCTTCTTCCTCCTCACTGACAGAGACAGGCAGTGTCATTCACCCAACCTCCCAGGGGTGCTCTCTGGTCTCCTGCCATGCGGGAGTACCCAGCCTGAGCCCCACAAGGCCAGGCTCCCCTTCTTCCTCCCCCTTTCCTGGCTGTTCTGAGTGAACACCAGGTGCTTGCAGGTCCCTCAGCCTCTGCAGTACCGGGGGGAGAAATGGGGTCAGCTCCTCTCAGTCTGTCTCCCCATTCCAATGGGGACTTGAACTTGTGTGAAATGATTAGTTTCTCAAAAATTTCTGACTGTCCGGAGGGGACCTCTCTGAGAGATATCGGGCAGAGGTGTCAGCTCCTACTGATTTCTGCCTTCCCTCCATACTCCTGTTTCTCCTGCCCTAGTCTCTTCCTCTGTGTGTGAGAGGGACAGTTGGACTCTGTGGTGGACAACTATCTTTGCACCCAGCTCAGGGACTTCATTTACATAAAGCTGGATTCTGCTATGGCTTGAAGAGAGGAGCAGGAGACCTGGGCCTAAGACGCTCGGTTCTTCCTGCATACCCACGTCCCCAGCCACAGTGCTGGCTGAGGGACGGGCCCAGGACTCAAGTAGGACCAATCAAGAGCCAGTGCTATTCAGTTCTGGGACTCCTGTCTGGGCTGTTGAGGAATGGAGCCCCATCTTCCACCAGACTGGGGCCTAGATGGATACAGGTTGCTGCTACGATAACCACCTTGCAGACTGCACATCTGAAAATAAACCCAATACATGAAAGGCAGGGCTGAGAGATAAAAAGAGAAATGGAGTCCTGGTGACACTGGCTCGGAGGTGGGCAAGCTGCGCCTGAAGCCAGCCCCAAAAGCCCCACCTTCACTTTTCAGTTTTGAGGGCCAGTAAGTCCCCAATTTTCTGAAGTCAACCTGCATGGGGGTCCCTGTTACTGCAAGAGAGTCGTCCCTAGCTGACTTGCTCATTCCTGCCCATCTCACTTTGGCTGCTCCCAAGCTCCCCTGCTAGGCTCTACAGGACTCCATCTGCTGGGCCTAGTGGTGCTGCTCTGTCCTGCCCACTGCCTCCCTCCGGTGGGAGTTCCAGGTCTGAGTAGAGCAGGCAGGGCGGGCCTCACCAGCTGGTAGTGCTGCTTGGAGAGCAGCAGGATGCCGCCGACATAGGTCTTATAGTGGTAGAGAGGGTGGAGTTCCGGGGAGGCCACGTGGAAGGGCCCAGCCTCAGGGAAGCCATAGTCCAGCTCCTCATTGAGAGGCAGCAGGTCCACGTCATGCATGGCGATGTAGTCTGTGCTGTTGCTGCTCTCCAGGAAGCCCACATTGATGAGTGCAGCGCGGTTGAACCTGTGCAGGGTGGCCAAGTCTGGGCAGGGGGCCAGCAAGCTGTTCACTGCCTGGCTCTCCCCCAAGCTCCAGGCGAGAGCCTCTTTCCCACATCATCCACCCCTCGGGCCCCAGCAGTGCCTAAGCTGCCTACGGACCAGCACTGACTTCACCGTGTGGGGCCAAGCCCTCCACTCAACGCACAGACGTTTACCAAGACCTACTATGTGCCAGAAACTATTCAAAGCACTGGAGATACAGGTGAAAAAAATAATCCCTGCTTTCAAAGAGCTGACATTCTAATAGTAGGAGACAAAAACTAGCAAATCAGTAAATGCACAATGAGGCAGGCGGTGGTGAGTGCTGTGGAGAAAAGTGAGCAGGGAGAGGAGGCTGAAACTTGCTGGGGGTGGGGGCTGTTCTCTTAGACAGGGTTGCAGGGAGAGCCAGGGCAACAGGGTGCCTTTTGAGTGGAAACCTGAGGGCCTGGGGGAATGAGACATATGGGAACGGGGGGAATAGGGCTCCGAGCCAAGGAGACAGCAACTGCCAAGGCCAAGGCAGAAGCAGACACTAAAATGGCCGGGCAGAGTGAGTGATGGGGGCAGAGGGAATGAGGTCAGGGGCTGGTGGGGCCACAAAAGGAGTTGGGCTTTGACTCTGGCTGATACGCGGAGCTGCTGAAGGGCTTGGAGCAGAGGTGTGACATCTGTGACTTACGTTTTAACAGGATCACTCTGGTTGGTGTGTTGAGAAGACACTGTAGGGGTGGAATGGAGGCAGCCAGACCAGCTAGAAGGCTATGACAATACTGGAGGCAAGAGGTGACAGGCACCTAGTGTGGGGAGGCAGCAGTGGAGATGGCGACAAGTGGGCAGATGCTAGGGGCATTTTTCTGATGAACTTGGATGTTGTGTGACATAGAAAGAGGGGTTGAGAATGACTGCAAGGCTTTTTGGCTTGAGTAAATGGAAGCATGGAGTTTCCACTTCCTGAAATGGGGAAGAGGGCAGGGGAAGCAGGTCTGGGGCAAGGTGGGCAGTCAGGAATTCAGTTTTGATCATGTTAAACTCAAGATGCCTCTGAGCCCACCAAATGCAGAGGTTGCCTAGGAGACTGGATGTGCAAGGCTGGAGTTCAGGAGAGAGGTTTGGGCTGGGAATACAGACTCAGGACTCATCAGAATAGAGATGGGATTTAATGCTATGAGACTGGATGAGATCCCCGGGGAGTGACTGTAGCTAGGTAAGTGGGAGATGCCCAAGTACCGAGCCCCAAAGAAGACCGATGTTGAGAGATCAGGGAGACGAAGCAGAACCAGCCCAGGAGTGGAGGAAGAGCAGAGTGCTGTCCGGGGAGTCAAGCAGAGGTGTTAAGAAGGAAGAAGTAATCCACTGGGCAAATGCTGCTGACAGGTCAACAGGATGAAGGCTGAGAACTGGCCTTTGGATTAATGAAGTGAAGGTCATCGGGGACCTCAATGAGAGCTGTTTCAGTATCGTGATGGCGGTAAATGTCTGAATGATACAGACTCAAGAGAGAACAAGGACAGAGAAGGGGAACAGTTTTGCTATAAAGGGGGGCAGAGAAATGGGGTGATACCTGTGGGGAATACGGGATCAAAGGAGTCTTTTATTTTCTTTATAGAGGACAGCTATTTCAGTGTATTTGCATGCTGATGCAAATGCTCCAGGAGAGAGGAAAAAATGATCATGCAGGAGAGAAAGTGGCCAACTGCTGGAGTGCTGTGAGGAGGAGTGGGGGAGGGAGAGGTGTCCAGTGCCAGAGTGGGACAGTCGTAGTAACACAGAAGCTGGGAGGTGAGTCCAGGTGGTGGGGATTGGGGAAAGTTCTTTTCCAATTGGTTCTGTTTCCTCAAATCAGAAGCAAAGCCATCAGCTGAAAGTAAGGATGGGCAAGGAACGAGGAGAGGAGGTTTGAAAGGCTGCTGTGAACAGAATGGAGGAATGCAAGGCTCCCAGCAGGACCCAGGGCCTTTCTGGGTCAGGCCGCATTGTCAGGGAGCCAAGCAGAGCTGAGCAGTGTATCCAGGCACACTGATGTTTTTCTCCAGCCCCCTCCAGCTGCCCAGGTGCAGGTGTGGGGTAGACAGTCAGATTTAGTCAGGCTGGGGTTATGCCAGACAGAAAGGGGCCAGGGATTGAGAGTGTGTGTGAGGGAGGGATTTTAGTGATGGACCATGGATTCCATCTTTCTCCTTAGGTGAGGAGAAAGTAAGGACAAGGAGGGTGAGCTGTGGAAAGGTGGGAGGATCAGTGGACTATCGGGCTGGTGGGGTCTGGGAATCGTTCAAGTCTGTCGTCCCGCTGAAGTGAGTTGGAGGGAAAGGAGGTGGGGGATGGAGTGTGAGATGCTTGGACTCTGGTCATGAAGGGGAGCAGTTTTTGGTAAGGGTGGGGATTTTAGGATAAGGCCAGACTCTGGGCAAATCTAAAGCCATGGACCCTCCCCTTCCCTAATCCCCCAAGCCAATCCCCAGCAAGTTCTGACTATGCTTCCTTCATATCACTTCTCTCCTCTCCCCTCTCCACCACGCTGGCCACACCGCCATCATCTCAGACAACCGCAGTGACCACCGAGCTGGTCTCCCTGCTTCTTCTCTTGTCTTGGTATGATCTATTCTACATACAGCAGCCAGAGTGATCTTTGTAAAATGCAAATTACATCAGGGCCCTCCCCAAAGATTCCCATCACATCCCGTGAGAGGAGTCTATCACCTCCCACCCACTCGCCACTGTCCCGCATGGCCTCCCACAGGCCTGAGGCCCACCAGGCATTGGAGCAATGCCAGGAAAGGAAGCTGGTCCTAAGAGGTCCGGGCAAGGGGAGGTCCCCGGAGAGGGAGGGCTGGGTCAGCAGGGGAAGGTCAGGAGGTGACCCCTACCTGAAATGGTCCACCTGGTTGAGCACATAGATGTGGTGCTGGATCTTCTTCCTGCTCAGGAAGCGGTGCATGTGGGGCACAAAGACCAGGAGCTCCTCGAAGCGTTCACGGAAGGGTACCAGCACTGCCAGGCGGTGGGGGCCCCATGACGAGTCTTCCTCCCAGTGCTCAGGGGGCAGCTCTGGGGGGCAGGCCCGGGATGGGCTTGGGGTCTCCTGCCCTTGTTCCCTGGCTGCCCGGGCCATGTCACCTGAGCAGCTGAGCTGCAGCCAGAGTAGGGAGAAGAAGCCCAATAACAGACAGGCAACGAAGAGGTGGAAGATGGAGCATTTCCGGGGGAGGCCACCCGGGAGCAACTTGGACCTGGGACAAGAGCAGGGATGGGGTCAGAAGGGCAGGGCCAAGCTGGGACCCTCTGACAGACCCCTTCTCTGGCCTCCCCACAAGTAGGCACGCAGACTGGTCCACCCCAAGCGCCTAGGAATTAGTGCAGAAGCAACTTTAGTGTTTTGCTCTGGCCACTACATCAGAATCCTGGTTATCTCTCTAGGCCAGCCCATGTCACCCCACCTCTGGGAAGGCCTCTGACCACTCCCCAGTCGTAGAGCTGCCCCAGCTCCTCGATGCTTTCTTACTTTCTGTGAGTGAATCCTGGTCAGACCATGAGCTGCTCGAGGGCCAGGACAGAGCTCCTTGTCTCTTGCCCCACCCCACTGCAGTGGCTCAATGTCCTGAGCCAATGGCAGGAGCCCCACCTTAGAGAGATCCAATCCATTGCCTTCCAAACACACTCCCCTGCAGATTCACTCCAGCAGGAACCTTGACTTCATCCTGCTTCCCAGGCTGACCAGCAAGCACCCAAGATGGGACTATGTGCTGGCATCAGTCCCAGGTGAAACGACCAATGTCTCTTGGGAAGATCAGATCTGCCCCCAAAGCAATGCAAGGCCCAAACTGACAGTGGCAGTTCACTCAATGAGTCTCAAAGCTCCAGTCCAAGAGGCAGCCCATGTGACAAGAGATGAGAGACAGAAGAAGGAAGAAAGATGAGAGCTGGGAACAGCACCCAAGTTCATTTCAAAAACTGTAAAAGGAGCTGAATATCTTAGACACAGTGGTGAGGCTGGGAGACTGTGCTTTAGGTTGGCAAGTATAAAGAAACAGGTGGAATTCACCTGATTCCTCTGTCTCTCCTCTGGAAGTTCCTGAGTATAGTGAGAAAGGAGCTGAGGAACCTAAGAAGAGGGAAGCATCCTCTATACATGCCCCCACTTTGCCCCCAAAATGAGCTGCAAAGGAATCTATTTTATAGTCACTAAGGGTCAGCAATTAGCTACCAGGCCTAGTAGATTTGATCTCCTAAATCCCCCTTTGATCCTTCCTCACCCATCTGTTCCTTGCCCTGCTCAGATCCCTTCAATCGAAGTTATACGACCCTTCAATCTCATGAATGATCCTCTGTTTAAAAACAAAGGTGAAGGGCCGGCCCGGTGGCGCACTGGATAAGTGCGCCGCTTGGGAAGTGCAGCGGCGCTTCCGCCCGAGGGTTCGGATCCCACATACAGACCGGCTCCCGCTCACTGGCTGAGCGAGGCGCGGGAGCAACGCCGAGGTTTGCAATCCCGTTGCCGGTCCCCGGTCCGGTACGGGGGCAACACTGAGGGTTGCGATCCGTTGCCGGACACGGAAAAAAGACAAAAGACAAAAAAAAAAAAAAAACAAAGGTGAAACTCCTGGGCCCGACAGTCAAGGCCCTTTGTGCCCTGGCCCCATCTCCAGTTGCTCCCAACCATCCACCAAGTCCTCTCACACTGGGTAACTCAGAGCTTTCTCCACTTGCCATATTC